GCTACGGGTGGAAGCAAGGGGGTGCGGCTGCAAATAGGGGTGACAGAAAGGTAGGGGGGAGGTCTCAGACAGTAGCCCTCATTGAGCCACCATTGTTTACAAGGCACATGTGATATTAGCCAAATTCATTTCTGTGTAGCGGTGGTGGAGAGTGCTGTCAAGTCACAACCAACTTATGAAGACCGGATGGGGTTTCCAAGGCAATAGATGAGCAGAGATGGTTTGCCATTGCCTTCCCTGAATAGCAACCTGGACTTCCTTGGATCCAGAGGGGAACCAAGAAATTACAGGCCAGTCAGTCTAATGTCTGTACCAGGCAAACTAATAGAAATGGTAATCAAAGATCGAATTGTTAGGCACAGAGGGATAAAGCCTGCTGAGGGGAAATCAGCATGGCTTCAGCAAAGGGAAGCCCTGCCTCACCAACCTTTTGGAGTCCTTTGAGAAAGTGAACAAGCATGTAGACAACGGTGACCCAGTAGACATGATATACCTGGTGTTTCAAAGGGCTTTTGACAAGGTACCTTACCAAAGTCTCCTGAGTCAACTTGGAAGTCATGGGATAAGAGAAAGAGTTCTCTTATGGATTAAAAGGTGGTTAAATGACAGGAAGTAAAGAGAAGGAATCAATGGACAGTTCTCACAATGGAGGGAAGTAAGCAGTGGGGTCCCATAAGGATCGATATTGTGGCCAGTAGGATTTAATTTATTCATCCATGATCTGGAACTAGGGGTGGGTAGTGTAGTGGCCAAATTTGCAAATGACACAAATTTAATTTTTATTTAAAAAATAATAAAGGATGTGTTTACAAAATCACAGAAATAATTACGTAATTAAAGGGTTTTTAAATGACGAACAAATAAGGCTCCAGCAGATTGCGAGGCCCTAAGCTGTAGCTTATTTAGCTTATGCATAAATCCGGCACTGGCTCCAAGAGGACCTCCACAAACGGAGCGAGTGGACGAGAATGTGGCAAATGAAGTTCAATATGGTAAGTGTAAGGTGATGAACACTGGAACCAAAAATCCCAACTTTAAGTATAAGCTAATGGGGTCTGAACTTGCTGAGACTGAGATGGACAAAGATCTTGGGGTTGCAGTGGATAGCTCAAGGGGTTAGAATACCTTCCCTATGAGGAAAGGCTGAAGAGTCTGGGACATTTTTAGTTTAGAAAAGAAAAGACTAAAGGGGGGACATGATAGAGGACATGATAGACTGAGGGCTTCCTATGGCAGTATGCGATGATGCGCATACTGGGAAGGGGGGGGAAACAACGGCACGGAATCGGGATGGCCTGATCAGACCATCCTGATGCCATGAGAGCGCGCTGGAGTGATCACACTGGGGAAAGTAGTTTGCTACTGGACTTTCCCCAGTGTCTTTTTACTCCGCTTCTGCGGCAGAGCAAAACGGGTTGCCGACAGGTGCGGGACGCTGGGCAGATGTTTGTCTGATCGCGCCCTTTAAATCCACCCAGCACTCATGCCTAAGGCGCAGCTAATTGTGCATGTGATTGCACTCAGAGTGGTTTGGAAGTGGAAGAAGAGAGATAATGTTGGGAGATAATGTTGGTACACTGAAAAGGACAGAGCAGTTCTGTTGGGGAGGCTGTACAGGCTACGAAGGAAGAGGGAGTCCAAGGTGGACAGCTGTGTTGGTCTGAAGCAACAGAACAGAGTTAGAGTCCAGGGGCACCTTTAAGACCAGCAAAGTTTTATTCACGGTATGAGCTTTCATATACAAGCGCGCTTCCTCAGACAACGAAATGGAATTACAGATCATTTAGTTGTATATATACAGGGTGGCTTGTTAAATTAGCATGCAAAATAGTGAAGATGTTTTTTAAACAGATAAAAAGAATGGCAAGCTTGGTTTCGGTCAGAGGTCATTTCGGGGGGGTCGCGGGGGGTCGCAGTTCCCCCAGGTGAGGTATGGGGGCGGGGCACATGACGAAGCCCCGCCCCCTGCTTCTGGCCGCCCCGCTTCTAGCCCTCATTCAGCCAGGAGGAGGCAGGAGAAGAGGGAGGGTAAGTTGCTTCCTCCCTTCCTCTCCCCACCCCTGCCTGCCTGGGGCCAGGGAGGGCCTTCGCGGGGCTTCCTTGCACTCCCGCCGGCCTTGCAGGTCCACCACCGGGCCCCTCATGGGGCTTGGCAGTGGAGCTGCAAGGCCGGTGGCGGCGGCCGGGACTGTTGGGGGCGGAGTGTGTGGCCTTATGACACACTTCCAGTGATGTCAGGGGGTGTGGCCTTATGACACACTTCCGGTGATGTCAGGGGGTGTGGCATATGCTAATGAGTTATGCTAATGAGTTCCCCTAGCTCTTTTTCTACGAAACGACCCCTGGTTTCGGTTATCATCTGTTTTGGTTCAACAGGGAGGGGGGGACAACATAGGTAATAAATATGTCAGAACTGGAAACTGGTGTGCCCTAAATCGTGAGAATCCCACCCTTAGACCCCATCCATCTCCTTTCTAGCATGGAGACAAACTTCACAGCATCTTGGCGGTGGAGAGTAGCTGTACCCGGAAGGGAGTGCCCTCCTGGCGTAGATGGAGGGATGAGCGCAGGGTGATTGATCCAGGAAGGATGTGCAGATAAGTGCCATCCCAAGCGCCAATACCTTCAGAAAGCCACTTCTCCTGGACATTCTGTGGTTGTGGTCTCTCTTCCCTTCCTCCGAGAACGGCAGGTGATTTATGGTGTTGTGTGGAGAAGCGAGGGAAGGTAGCGCTGGCAGGGCCAGGAAGCATCAAAGGAGGACAGCAGCACTGCGTCACAGAAAGTTGTAGTCTTGTAGTACAAAAGTACAATCGTTGGGGTACAATATAAGCACAAGGTGTTTTTCCAGACACTCCAATGTTTGCCTGCTGTCCTCAACAGGCACTGAGTGTTTATGAGAACGATCCAGGAATATCTGACACACAGAACTAGATGTAAGAGCTCAATTAATTGTTTCCTTCTCCCTGCAAAGGGACTTTGTGTCTGTTATGGTGGCTAACTTTTCCCTCTGTGTTTTCCTTGCAAGGGAATGTTTAACAGTGGTTAAGAAAGGATTGTTTATAAAGTGTGGTGAAATGTTGAACTCATATCCAGAAACAAATCCATGTTTGACTTGAGTCCCCCCCCCCCCCATTTTTAGACTTACTGCTATTCTTTTTTTATAAGGGGAAGGGCGACTTGGAAGGGAAAAACCAAAAATAGGGAAGAGTCTTGAAAGCCTTTGACGTGGGATTTTTTTTACATTTCATTTATTTATTTGCCATCAGATTACAGCCAAGTTATGGTGGCCCTGTACAGTTTTCAAGGCGAGAGACTAACAGAGGTGGCTTTGCCATTGCCTGCCTCTGCATCATGACCCTGGACTTCCTTGGAGGTCTCCCATCCAAATACTGGCCAGGGCCGACCCTGCTTAGCTTCTGAGATATGATGAAATCAGGTTAGCCTGGGCTGTCCAGGTTAGAGCCTGGAAAATATAGCAGTGTCCATTTCTGAGGGGGGGAAACAAAATGCTCTTAGCTGGTTTCTAGCAAATGAACATTTATCACAGTTTCAAGTGATACAGTACCTATATTTTAACTATTTTTAAAAGAAAGACATATTTTAACTGCTTTAAAAATAATAATAAAGTCCTAGATTTAAATTGCTTTAACTGTTTATTGCATTTTGTTTCATTGTGAGCCAGTTGGAGAATAGGCCTGGCTGGGATAGAAAGGTTTAAAATAACAGATAGCTGAGGGCTTCTTTTACTTTGGCTGCCTACGCCCCAATCCTTGTTTTTTTTCAAAATACCATTTTTTCCCCTCTGCTTCTTTTGTTTTCTTCTGCTGTGAGCTCCAGCTTTCCGGTTCTGAAGCATGTCTCTCTTTGGGGACAAAAGAGGAAAGCTACATTTCTGTGGCAGCAAGACTCTAATCTGGAGAACTGGATTCCCCACTCCTCCACATGCAGCAGCTGGGTGAATGTGGGTCAGTCACAGTTCTCTCAGAGCTCTCTCAGCCCCACCTACCTCACAGGGTGTCTGTTGTGGGGAGAGGAAGAGAAGGAGATTGTACGTTGCTCTGAGACTCCGAGTGAAGGGCGGGGTATAAATCCACACCTCCTCCTCCTCCTCTTCCTTCGTCTTTCCATCTGGTGGGGAATCAAGACACAGCCCCGTTGTCATGAGCAGGGCTGCTGCAGCTGTACTAAAAGGAAGGAAAATCTGTGGGGGGCTGAAAGGGCCCCCTTCCCCCCCCCCCATTTATCACATGCTAGGGTTGCCAGGTGCTTACCATCTGCTAGCGTGGAGCTATGCACTGCTCCCTGGGATTTTCTATGGTCACCATAGATTTTTTAGCCAAATGCTAGAGTGTCCCCTGCATGATGTGCCTGGCACAATGACATCACCTCTGGGTGACGTCATCACGCCAGGCACATTGGGTACGGCAGGGCTCTTGAGGGCGGGACTCCCCCACCAGCCAGCTGGCCGGCAGTCGATTGGGCCCCCCAAAATCAGGGAAACCCCACCCCCATCACTGTGTTCTACAAAACAGTTCTAATGAAGTCCTTGGATCCAAGCCAGGGAAAGTGGATTAAACCTGTGCAGGTGCTTCCTTTAACTGGGTAGTAATTTGGGCGGCAAAGCCAGCCATGTTTGTGTCCCTTTCTCTGGCCACTGACAGAGCTGTGAGTTCCAGGGAGGTCCACCTACCATTGAGGAACAGAAGGGAATAAAGTGACTCTAGTCCCATACAGAAGACAGGGTCAGGCTGCTTTAGGAAATAGCCATCTGAGAACCAAGGACCCAGCAGGGAGCTTTCTTCCTCTGATGAGTCCTCACTCATGTGGCCAGAGGTGCTCCCAAGGGCCATGTAGCAGTCAAGCTGCCTGCTTGGGGAGGGTGTGGGAAGGCAACCCACACAACAAGCTCCTTCTGCTTCTAGGCAAAGGCAGGAAAGGTGGGGCCAGCAGGGATTTAAGGGTGACGAATCCAATGACAATAAAACTGCTCTCAATCCGACAGCACTTCCCAGGACGAAAGCATTCACATGCGGGCGCCTGCGTTGCCTCCCTGCAGGGCCGTGAGGCTTCTGACTACAGCGCTGTTTCTGCAGACAGTTTCAGGTAGGGAAATACCTCCTCTCTGCATGTGGCTGAAAAGACACGTTTGGGGAATGGGCGCATGAGATAGCAAGCCGCGTTTATGCACATCAACACATCAACAACAGGAACGTACGAAGCTGCCTTATACTGGGTCCAGTTAGGAAGAACCGAAATGCAGCCGTGATATAATTACTCAGTGTAACATTGTATAGTCAATTATATCGTTGACCTAACACATTCACATAAACAGATAAATGCAAAAGTTATAATGGATAATTATAACTAAAGATCCCCATTGGAAGCCTTGACAGTCGCTACGCTTGGACTAAATATACACAAGAAGAAACCGATAAGGAAATAATTAGAACTGAACTTTGGCACGAGTACTTTATTTAAAACAATTATCATTTGCATGTATATGTTTATACGAATGTGTTTGGTAAACAATATAATTGACTATACAATGTTACACTGAGTAATTATATCACAGCTGTATTTTGGTCCTTCTTAAGTGCTTTTCCCGAGATCTCTCCTGTTATACTGGGTCCATGCAGCTCAGCATTTTCTGGTCCGATCAGCAATGGCTCTGCAGATTCTGAGGCAGACAATGGCATTTCCTAAGACCTGAAATCCCTTCCCTGGGAGATTGTTCTGGATTGAACCTGGGACCTTCTATATGCAAAGTGTTTTTTCTGTCACTGCACCAGAATCTCTGTTGCACGAAGCTGCTACATACGGCATCAAATCTTTGGTCCTTCTAGCAGAGTAGTGTCTCTTCTGATCAGCAGTGGTTCTCCAGGGGTCCTTCCCCTCCCCTGTGTTGATATGTCCACATAACCGACCTGTTGTCCTGGAGGGGAAAGAATGCCTTTTAAGTGGGACATCAAGTGGTTTTGTACATAAGATGCACTGTAACTCTAGCATGGTTACATGCTTCTAAGCCCTATTGATTCCACTCGATGTTGAAGGGTGGTAACTCTGCCTAGAACAGCACCGTAAGGTTGCAGTCCTACACAGGTCTTCTCAGATGTAAGTTCCATTTTATTCAACTTTTTTTGTTGGTGGTGGGATTCATGCATACTGAGTGGCACTCACAAGAGAGCCAGTTTGCTGTAGTGGTTAAGAGTGGCAGACTCTAATCTGGGAGAACCAGGTTTGATTCCCCACTTCTCCACATGCAGCTGCTGGTGTGACCTTGGGTCAGTTACAAGTCCTTTCAGAGCTGTTCTCTCACAAGAAGTTATCAAAAGAGTTTTTTCAGCCCCAGCTACTTCACAGGGTGTCTGTTGTGGGGAGGGGAAGGGAAAGGGATTGTAAACTGCTCTCCTTTGGGTAGTGAAGGGCGGGTTATAAATCCAATCTCTTCTTCTTCTTCTTATAAATATATCTCCAGATTATGACCAGAATCTGTCTGGATTCAACCTACTTCTCAATAGGGTTGTCAAAAGACATCAAATGCAATGGATTGACCCACATAGGACTGAGGTCATTTGAGCAATCCCAAACCTTTTGAAAATGCATAACAACAACAACAACAAGCCAATTTATTGTAGAAGTCGATTTTGTGAAAGACAGTTTGGTGTAGCGGTTAGGAGCATGGACTCTAATCTGGGAGAACCAGGTTTGATTCCCCAGTCCTCCACATGCAGCTGCTGGTGTGACCTTGGGTCATTCATGTGTCTCTGAGAGCTGTTCACTCATGACCAGTTCTCTCAGAGCTCTCTCAGCCCCACCTACCTCACAGGGTGCTTGTTGTGGGGAGGGGAAGGGAAAGGAGATTGTAAACCGCTCTGAGACTCCTTTGGGTAGTGAAGGACATGATATAAATCCAATCTCTTCTTCTTCATTTTCATTTTCTCCATTTTGTCCAATGCATCTCTCACCCACAAAGGGGATATTGCTATGGTATTAATGTTTGTTGAAAGATTATTGACGGTTTTAAAAATTATATGTATTGTTCGTTTTTAATTTTGTGACCTGCCTGGACCTTTCACAAGAAAGGCAGACTAGAAATGAAGTAACAGATAGATAAATAAGAAAATCTGTCCCCTGCTTCTTGTGTCACCATACTAGCTCTAGGTTGCTCCATATCCACTCACTGTCTGAGGTGCGGTAGGTGGCTACACAAGGCAGGGCCTTTTCGGTGGTGGGCACCTACTTTCTGCAAAACCCACCTGGATTCATCAATAGTCTAGACATAAAGAGAAGACATGGTCACTGCAGAGGGTGTTTGGAACTGTTTATCTATCACCTTTGATTTCTCCAAGGCATAATAGTCTCCTTGTCTGTTTTATCAAACCAACCCTGTGAGGTAGGTTAGGCTGAGAGATTGGTGCTAGCTACCCACAGGGCAATCCTATCCAGAGTTACTCAGGTTCTAAACCTACTGACAGGAGCAATGCTGCATGTGATTGCATTGCCAGTGAGTTTCGTGCCCTCCACTGACCAATCATCAATTGTTCTTCTTCAGCACCAGTTCCAAAATCCACTAAGAGGTTAAGCTGCTCCTATTCAGCAATGGGACTCTGCAAGGTGTGGCTGAAGCTCAAGGTGTGGCTGAAACTGTCTCCAAGGTTCACTGTTTGTTTTTCTCCCCAGTGGCTACACAGGATGAAAGGATCATTGGAGGGCAGGACTGTGATAAACATGGCCAGCCCTATCAGGTCATCCTATCCAACAGCCGGAAAAATGGGCCAGATGTTCAGTGTGGAGCAGTCCTGATAGAGAGGGATTGGGTGCTTACTGCTGCCCACTGTGACACCCAAGGGTAAGGAAACCACAGGGAGCTGGGCCAGGGGTTGAGAGACATCAGCTCTTTCTGGATTCCCAGTTTTCTGAGCATTCATTAACATTATTGAGCATCCATCATACCTGGATTCCCAGTTTCTGAGTATTTATGAGACTGGTGTACATCATTTGGATTCCCAGTTTTTAAAACATCCATTAGGTAGCTGAGCATCCGTCATTCCCGGATTCTCTGAGTATTTATGAGATTGATGAGCATCAGTTGCTTCTGGATCCCCAGTTTTCTAAGCATCCATTGTGTTGCTGATGAATATTTATTATTCCCGAGTTGCCAGTTTTCTGAACATTCAAGAGACTGATGGTTGCGGTCGCACATGCCAGAAAAAATGGGGGGGGGGGAAGCGAGGCTATTTCCTCCGGAGGAATTTGACCCACAGTTGCACAATCACACCTCCCTTTGAAGCTGCGGGCGCAGTCCGTCAGTGTGTGATCAGACGCAACTGCGGGTGAGTCTTTTTTGTCTGTGTGCCTTTCCCCCCCATGTGCTTAAACAAGGGATCGATGAGTTGCACCTCCACACCGAGGGCTCCCTATGGAGTTTGTAATGATGCACATACTGTGAAGGGGGGGGGGAACAGTGGCATGGAGTTGGGATGGCCTGATCAGACCATCCTGATGCCATGAGAGCGCGCTGGAGTGATCAGACACGGGAAAGTCCATCTATGGCCCATCACAACCTGTTTACTACCGGATTTTCCCCAGTGTCTTTTAACTCCGCTTCTGTGGCGGAGCAGAACGGGTTGCCGACGGCTGCGGGGCACTTCCCGGAAGTTGTTGTCTGATCGTGCCCTTTAAATCCCCCTGGCATTCGCACCTATGTTGGGTCTAATTGTGCGTAGGATCTCAGCCTGATGAGTATCAATTGTATCTGGATTCCTGGTATCCTTTGACTTGATGGCAATTGGTTGCTACTAGATTCTTAACCTTTTGAACATTAACTGGGTTACTATGCATGGGTGTTTAAACACTGATTGATGGGAGTTCTCAGAATAGATTTAGTTGATGCCATCTTGCATAAATCTGCCTCTGAATCAAAGGAGGGCTCTGGATGATAAAGTGTACTTTGTTTTTAGATGTTGCATGCAGCTGTCTCCATCTCAGAAGAGGCATTCCCTCCTGTGTGAGAGAGAAATGGAACGCCTCTTCTGAGAGAGCTTGCTTAGAGTTGAAAGGCTATTCTTGTTTTTTAATTGCCCAATAAATCAGAGGCTCCTTTTCAATACATTAGGAATCAATGGATTGGCTTAATGGATTAACTGATTCACAGATTAAAATGTGGCGGCTCTCATTTTGAGCTCCGTACCTTTGCACTTAATTGCAAAAGGCAATACTTGAAAAATAGTTCTATCATTATTGTTTTATCTGCTCACATGCCATTGTCAGGATCTCATCAGCTAAACATACAGGCCGATGATGGTACGCAGTTTTTACTCTGTTTCTCATTTTTTAAAAAATCCCCTTCTGTGCTGCAGAGACATCCACACACGGATGGGAGATCACAGCCTGAGAGCCAACGAGGGGTCGGAGCAGTGCATCACATCAGCACAGAAATTCCCACACCCGGGCTATAACCCGACGACTCACGACAACGACATCATGTTGCTACAGCTGCGCAATCCCGCCAACATCAACGAATATGTCAGGCCCATTGCACTGGCTACGGAATGTGCTGCCCCTAATACTCGCTGCCTGGTGTCTGGCTGGGGCACCGTTGAGACCCCAAAATGTACAGTAATGTCTTCCAAATATATATATGGTGTATGAGACAGGGGGTGTCCCAGGGGTCGTTTCATAGAAAAAGAGCTAGGGGAACTCATTAGCATAACTCATTAGCATATGCCACACACCCTGACATCAGGGTCCCGGCGGTGGACCTGCAAGGTCGGCGGGAGTGCGAGGAAGCCCCACCAAGGCCCTCCCTGGCCCCAGGCAGGCAGGGGTGGGGAGAGGCGGGGAGGAAGCAACTTACCCTCCCTCGTCTCCTGCCTCCTCCTGGATGAATGAGGGCCGGAAGCGGGGCGGCCAGAAGCAAGGGAAGGGGCTTCGTCGTGTGCCCCCCCCACCTCACCCGGGTGAACTGCGATCCCCCGCGATCCTCCCCGAATCGACCTCTGGGGTGTCCATTGGCAGAACAAAGTCAACAAGACAAAGAATGGCTGCAACCAGCTCTTGCTACCTCCAGCTTCCCTTTTCCAAGTTCCACAAATTATCCTGTTCCCCTTTTACTTTCTCACTCTTGCTCCCCCACTGCCTTTCACCCAGATTCCTAAATGTCATGAATGCACTGTCTCTGGTTCCCTCCTCCTCTCTTGTATTCTGTCATGTGCCCCAGCTTCCCTGAGGGTTTTGCCCCCCTGATATTTTGTAGTGCTGATGTGTTCACATGCAAATTCTTGGGGGTTTTCCAGAGGAATGGCCTGGGAAGTGAAAATGGCCCTGGAGCAAGCCCAGTTGACCTGTTCTTCAGGGCTGCCTAGCTCAGTGAGGCCACCAATGGGCATGAGCTCACCCACTGCATTCTCTCCCAAAACTGGCAGCAGTGCTGGAGGAGACAATTGGTGAGCGAACATTAATTGTCATTGCTGGTGAAGGGTCCAAACCCCTGAGGCATCGGCAAGGTCTCTGGGGCTTGGCTCTGCTTGCCAGTTTGGTGTAGTGGTTAAGAGCGGCGGATGCTAATCTGGAGAACCGGGTTTAATTCCCCACTCCTCCACATGCAGCTGCTGAATGTAGAAAATGGAAAGCTTTGGAAGGTGGACTCTACGGCATCACATCCCTGCTGAGGTCCCAAACACTACCCTCTCCAAGCTCCACCACATCACTCCACGAATTTCCCAAACTGGAACTGGGCACCACTAGAGCTGTGGTGGTTTTACTCCTTTCTATCTATCTGGGCTTCCTCCAGGCGCCGTGGCAATCTAACTCTTCCGCCCACCCACTGCTGTGCCGTGCTACGGAGACAGTTCAGTGGTAGAGTGGGGTTGGGGGCGGGCTATGCAAATGTGGAGGGGAGGGGAGAGTGGGCTGAGGGTTCAGTTACAGCGGGGGTCATTTCGTAGAAAAAGAGGTGCAGGAGCTCATTAGCAAAACTCATTAGCATGACTCATTTGCATATGCCACACCCCCTGACATCACCGGAAGTGTGTCAGAAGGCAACCCCCACCGCTCAGGCTCCACTGGACTGTTTTGGATTGCTAGCTATGGGGGGCGGGGGTGGAACATGCAGATCTCTCCTCGCAGAGGAGGGAGAGCTTGTACCTGAATAAAACTTGGTCTTAAAGCTGCCACTGGACTGTTTTGGACCTGTTGGCTCTGCAACTTACCTGGCTGCTTCTTGCTCTGACTGAGGGCTGCTGGGAGCAAGGGGTGGGGCTTGTTCCATGTGCCTGCCCCCTAGGCTCTTTACTGCCGGAGCTCCGCTCCTGTGCGCTCCTGCAGGAAATGACCCCTGGTTACAGCAGACAAAAATGATTTCCCCATTAGGTTGACGCAGGTTCAAAGCTGGGATTGAAAAAACTTCCCGGAAACAGGGGAATCAGATGCCGCACAGCATGAGTAGGGAAAGTGCTTTCTTATGCCTGGAAGAGCAAAATCATCTGCAGAAACAAGGGAAAGCCACGGAGGAATAGAGGTGCAGGCACAAGGAAATCTGACACTGCGGAATCGGTCAGGGAAAGCAGAGAGGGAAGCCCTTCCTGTCACTCCAGATGCAAAAGGGCTAGCTAAGGGCCAGCCAAGATGGGGAGAGATAACCCCCTGCACCTAAGTAAATTGGGTCATTAGAAAGGTTATACCACAATTCTATGTTGAATACTAACAGCTTTCTCTTATACTATTGTATGTGTGTGAATTGGGTGGGATGGCACCCTGACTGGGCGTACTGTGTGCCCGGGCAGCTCTTTTAGTTGTCAGTCGTTGCAAATCTGTTTCTTTGCAAGCCGCAGAGTGCGGAGGACCACAGCCTTAGCTCATCTGTGAATTATCACCGTTCTTTGTTTGCAGCAGAGTTTCCCGACATCCTGCAGTGTGCAGAGGTTTACACGATGTCAAATGAAGAGTGCAGACGGGTCTATACTAATATGATCACTGACAACATGCTGTGTGCTGGCGTCAGGAAAGGAGGGGTGGACTCTTGCCAGGTAAAAGATCTTCCATTGGTGATTCCCCCACCCCATACCATGTAAGGAGATGTTTGTGGAATAGCAGCTCACAATGCATTTGGACATGATGCTCCATGCAGCCAAATGCATGCACCACTTCTGCATTTAGATGACAGGGTCGCAACCAACAAGATTTGCAGAAGGAAGATGAACATGTTCTGTGCATGTTTATAGCCGGTGCAAACCTTCACAGGCTCTTCTTTTGAACTGGCAATCCAGCCCTGCCAAGTCAAAGCCAGCGGGGAGGGCGGGGTATAAATTGAATTAAATAAATAAATAAATAAGGACCACAGATTTGGCCCTCCGCCTGAGACCCTCTTGTACGAAGCTGCCCTCAGTTTCGAGGTCCACATGATCCAAAATAAAAAAGTGCAACGTTCCAAAGGTCTTTAGTACAATTTCCTTGGAGGAAGCCCCATTGACTAAAATGGGAGTTACTCAGAAGTAGATCTGCTCCCTTATAGTGCCGTCCTAAGCAGAGATATTACACCTTCTAAACCCCATAGGCTTAGAAGGGTGTAACTCTGTAGGACTGCATCTTTAATCCAGAGGGGACTCCGTACTGCGGTGAGAGACTTTAGGCACCAATCATAATTTGAAAGGAGAATTACACACCCTCAAGACTGCAGATGTCACCAGCAGGCTAACTACTGTACATATACATTTATGTATCGCTAATTGGCTCAAGTGGTTAAGACGATGAACTGCAAACTGGAAGGCCGGTAGTTCAGCAGTTCAAGACCCGGGTGCTGCATGACGGAGTGAGCTCCCGTCTCTGGTCCCAGCTCCTGCCAACCTAGCAGTTCGAAAGCAAGAAATTGCAAGTAGATAAATAGGGACCACTTCGTTGGGAAGGTAACAGCGTTCCGTACGCCTCGGCATCTAGTCATGCCGGCCACATGACCACGGAAACGTCTTCGGACAGCGCTGGCTCTTCGGCTTTGAAACGGAGACGAGCACCGCATCCTTAGAGTCGGATTCCACTGGCTTTCGAGCGAGGGACACCTTTACCTTTACACGTAATTTCATTTACATCGCACCTTTCTTCTGTCATGGAATTCCCAGTCAGTGTCTCCTGACCTGGATGGCGCAGGCTAGACCAATCTCATCAGATCTTGGACGCTTAGCAGGGTCAGCCCTGGTTAGTACTTGGATGGGAGACCACTGAAGGAGTCCCGGATCACTGCAAAGAGGCAAGCCCACCTCTGTTCAACTCTTGCCTTGTTTATTTTATTTTATTAAATTTTTATCCCTCCCTCCCCATTGTGGCAGGCTCAGGGCGCCTTGAAAGCCCTATGGAATTAGGGTTGCCAGGTCCACCCGGGCCACTGGCGGGGGATGGGGGGATGGAATCGCGATATGCTGGCTGCAGGGTTTTTTTTGTAGAAAAAGCCCAGCAGGAACTCATTAGCATAATAGGCCACACCCAACAGCAGAACCCCATTAGCATATTAGGCCACACCCCTGACAGTACACCTCATTAGCATAATAGGCCACACCCCGTGCCTTCCTTAGGCTTGCCCGGGTTCCCTGTGGCTGTGAGGAGCCCGGGTAAGCCGGCCCTTGGAGGGGAGAGGAGGCAATTTAAACTTCCTTCCCTTCCCTTGGGTGTAGTGGGCGTGGCCAATTCTGAAGCCAGCCGGAACTCCGTTCCTGTGCGTTCCTGCCCAAAAATAGCCCTGGCTGGCTGCCATTTGATGGCACTTTACACACACACACAAAGAGTTCCCAGCAGGTCTCCTGCAATGTTCCCTCTAAGCTGTGGAGTCTTGTGAGCAAAAATTCTACTTTGTGAGCTCCTGGCATTAACGTTGTGCGTGAGCGATTTGGCTACTGTATAAATTAGTTCGTTCTGGAGCCATCCTTCCTGAGCTGAGGCAAAAATGTGTGAGCCGGAGGGTAAAAAACTGTGAGCTAGCTCACACTAACTCAGCTTAGAGGGAACACTGGTCTCCTGTGACCTGGGGAGTGCACCACTTTAAAGTTTTGTGGAAAACCCACCTAATTTCCTACCAAAACGACTGGCTGCTTAAACCTTTTCAGCAGTGTCAGAGAAAGCAAATAGTTCTGCCTTCTCGGAATGTGAACCAGAACCTCAGCACAAACATTCAGCCGCTGCTTGTTCGATCCACAGTCCGATTGGGAAGAGGAAAGTAGGCAGGCCCGTAGCTAACATGGGGCCCACGGGGCCCGGCCCCCTTGTGTTTCTTCTGGGCCCCCTCCCTCCAGGGCTGCCCCCAAAGTGCTCCAACTTACCGCCTGCACTGTACTTCCATTTAATTAGCTGGCGGGCCCCCCCAAGGCCCCCTCCCAAAGAATTCCCTAGCTACGGGGCTGAAAGTAGGGGACCACTGACAAGCAGGGCTGGCTGCATCACCCACTGATCAGAGGCAATGGAGCATCCGCATAGTCATTGCCTCTGAATTTTGCTCGACTCAGCACGACCCCGTGGCCACCACCAGGGTTCCCTGTAAGCTCTGGAGCCATCCTTCCTGAGCTAAGAGGCTAAAAAACCTGTGAGCTAGCTCACACTATCTCAGCTTAAAGGGAACACTGGACGAGGACTGTAGCAAGCAGGAGAATTAAATGAGATTTAGCAAAAATAAACAAAGAAAAAAGAAAAAGGAAACCCCTGACTGGATCTAACTTCATTCAGCAGCTCCAGAGATTTCACCAAGCACTGCCCATACATTTTCCAAAGACATCTTTTAGTGACAAGGGCTAGAAACCTGCTTCAAAAAACAAAAACATTATTAGGAATCTGGATCGCTCATGCATTCATATGGATTTATGACACATTACAAGTCTATGTGTGACGTGTAAACAATATTTTATTGAAAACAGATCTGCCAATATCATAATGCCCCTATATAAATCAATGGTGCGACTTCATTTGGAATACAGTGTGCAGTTCTGGTCACCACATCTTAAAAAGGATATTATAACTTTGGAAAAAGTGCAGAAAAGGGCAACTCGAATGATAAAAGGATTGGAACACTTTTCCTATGAGGAAAGGTTAAAGCACTTACGGCTCTTTAGCTTGGAGAAATGACAACTGAGGGGTGACATGATTGAGGTTTATAAGATTACAAGAGGGGGACCCGCGATACTTGCGGGGGGGGAGAAGAGCTCCGTCTCCTCCATCCCCCCCCAATCTCCCCGAGGCTGTGGCGGCGGGGCCGGTCCTCCACCCCCCACCCCGCCCGGCTCCGACCCGGCCGGGCTCCGCGGCGGCGGCGAGGCTGGTCCTCCCCCCCCACCCGGCTCCGAGGGCGGTCCTTTCC